CCCTGCCGGACCCGCCACGCGTGACCCCAGTGTGGTGACAGCGGGGACACAGGTGGACATCCCTGCCGGACCCGCCACGCGTGACCCCAGCGCGGTGACAGCGGGGACACGGGTGGACACCCCCGCCGGACCCGCCACGCGTGACCCCAGCGCGGTGACAGCGGGGACACGGGTGGACACCCCCGCAGGACCCGCCACGCATGACCCCAGCGCGGTGACAGCGGGGACACGGGTGGACACCCCCGCAGGACCCGCCACGTGTGACCCCAGTGCGGTGACAGCGGGGACACGGGTGGACATCCCTGCCGGACCCACCACGTGTGACCCCAGTGCGGTGACAGCGGGGACACGGGTGGACATCCCTGCCGGACCCGCCACGCGTGACCCCAACGTGGTGAGAGCGGGGACACGGGTGGACACCCCCGCTGGACCCACCACGTGTGACCCGCGCGCGGTGACAGCAGGGACACGGGTGGACACCCCCGCCAGACCAGCCACATGTGACCCCAGTGCAGTGACAATGGTGACACGGGCGGCCGCCCCAGGCTGGACCCAGCACGCGTGACCCCAGCACGGTGACAGCAGGGACACGGGCGGCCACCCCCACCAGACCCGCCACATGTGACCCCAGTGTGGTGACAACAGGGACACGGGTGGACACCCCCACATGACCCGCCATGCGTGACCAGAGCGTGGTGACAACAGGGACACGGGCGGCCACCCCCGCCAGACCCGCCATGCGTGACCCCAGTGCGGTGACGATGGTGACACGGGCGGCCACCCCAGGCCGGACCCAGCACGCGTGACCCCAGCGCGGTGACAGCGGGGACACGGGCGGCCACCCCCACAGGACCCGCCACGCGTGACCCCAGCACCGTGACAACGGTGACACGGACGGCCGCTCCCACCCAGACCCGCCACGCATGACCCGAGCGCGCAGGGGCTCAGCCCCATGGTGACAACGGTGACACAGGCAGCCACCCCCGATCAGAYCCGCCACATGTGACCTGAGTGTGCCGGGGCTCAGCCCAGCGGTGGCACAGGTGGCCCCCCCAACCAACCCCATCACATGTGACCTGAGCGCGCCAGGGCTCGGCCTGAGGGTGACACAGGTGACTGCCCCCCACTGGACCCATCACAAGTGACCCGAGCACGCCAGGTCTCAGTTGCACAGGTGACCCAGGCGGCTGTCCCCCAGCTGGACCCGCCACATGTGCCCCGAGCGCGCCGGGGCTCAGCCCCATGGGCGGCACAAATAGCTGCTCCCCAACCAGACCCGCTCCATGTGCTCCGAGTGCGCCAGGTCTCAGCCCCGAGGGTGACGCAGGCGGCTGCCCCTGACTCAACCCACCACATGTGCCCTGAGCGCGCCAGTTCTCAGCTGCACCGCGGCTGTCACCACATGCGTGTCCTTGCCGTGTGCCACAGCCCAGGGTGCCTCCTGGCACCGCTCAGGCCCCCCCAGATCCTTGCCCCCAGCACAGCCCCTTGGCCTCCCCCAGTTTGTGGCACCTGGGTGCTGTCCCCAGCGCCACACAGCACCCCAGGGTGCCCCCCAGAGTCCCTCTGCGCACAGAGCCCCCTCCCTGTGTTCACCCGGCTGCTGGGGCCCCCCCAGGCGCCTCGTGCCCCAGTGCTGGGGGTGGGGGGCAGCGCCCAGGGCCATCCCCTCCTGCGTCCCCRTCCCCAGGGCCTCCTGCCACCACTGCCACGGCTGCAGTGCCAGCTGAGCCCGGGGCACTCGTGACGCGTGTGAGGAGCCGCTGGCGGGGCTGCTGCTCGCAGGGTGCAGATGGGTTTTCAGGCCTATTTGCTGGGCGAGGGATTCCCAGCGCGAGAGAAGACGGAGAGGGGAGCGCAGAGGACGTTCCCGAAACGTGGGGACGTTCCCGAAACGTGGAGCGCCCCCGCGGCCCAGCCCGGCAGGCCGGTGGCGGCTCCGTCGCGGTGCCCGGTGCCACCGGGCGCCTCTGCCCCTGGCAGAGCCCCTGGCGCAGCCCGGCAGAGCCGGGGATGCCCCGCGATGGCCGTGGCGCCGCCGCGTGCTGCCC